AAAAAAAAAAAAAAAAAAAAAAAAAAAAAAAAAAAAAAAGCAGCCACCACATTTCCTGTCTTCCATTTCTTGGTGCCAAGACAGTTTCAACAGTAAGTTACATACACCATTCAGCTGTGCAGGAATTGTATACTTCAATTTTCTATGAGCCCTTGGGTGAAAATCCACTATCTTGATGCTTTGTCAACATTCATTTGAATAACTGGTTCTAAAGCTGCTTGACTGATGATTTGACTGGAGATGATGGACAAATTTCTCACAAAGAAAGGAAGGTCCCTAAGTTCATTTGCCGTGAGCATTGGTGAAGATAATTCATTGTCTTTACAGTTAGGGATTCATATTTCTTGTGCTATCCTTTAATATCTCAGTCATCCTCTAGACTCACGGGTAACCATCATAGTTATAGTGCACTTGAAAAAGTTACCATTAGTGTAAATGCTTTTAGCAATTTTTTCCTCTAATCTTTCTTTTTTTCAATCTGCCTTATCGCTTTTTGTTCAAAGTGCCTGTGCTTGTGCTCTTTTAAACTTAACCTATTTGGACGGTGTTTTCATTATTTTTACTTTAAATAGTCTCCTTTATTTCTCTGTTTAATTATGACAGAATTTTCATGTCCTTTCACATTCTCTTCCAAGTCTTCAGTATGGTGTGCCTACAGTCTGTATGCCACCTGGAAGTATTTTAGCCTTTGAAACTGACCCTTTACATTTCATTTTTTCATGCTTTTCCATTACTGAGTATTTTCTACATATTAAACATTACTTGCAAAGTTTTTTTGGAGTATATCATATAGACCACTCATAATTACTGTAAGAAAGAGCTTCTTCCATAGTGTCTCTTGGTGCCTTTTTTGGAAATACAACAGCTGTTTCTCATTTTGAGAAAAGACAAAGTCAGAGAAAAATTCCTCCAGAAGAGCAGCTGTTCATGTTTTCAGAAAAATTGGTCTCTACCTCATAGCTTCCAGTGAATATTTACACCCTTCTTGAAAGTACTTACACTGTGTCTGTTTGGAAGAAAACACTGAATATCACATGAATCACAGTAAAATCACAGAAGTTGATACCAGTGTTGGACAGAAATGCTGAGAAGCTCGATGATAAAATGATTGGTGGGGACTACTAGGGCTGTTGCTGCTGTCTAGAAATTATGTCAAAAGAAGATAATATTTTGTTGTTATTCCTTGAAACCACTAGGAGACTTTGGCGACATATGAAGTAATAATAAGAATGCTACTGAATATACTTTCACCTCACATTTTTTTCTCTTGCACTGGTGGAGGTTAGTGGTAATTTTGTAGTACAGCAGAGGGAATTGTGTGCCATTGTGTAACCAGTCAACAACTCTCATCTGTCTTGAGCTACCTGGAGGTTTGGTCAAGTTACAATTTGAGCAGAGGTGCTAAAGGCAGAGAAAGCACTGTCCTCCACTGGAGATTTATGATAGGCTTTAATGTGAGCAGGATTTGGCCAAGACCAAGACCCAACTGCACATATTCAGGAGGAAGCAATCATCAGTGTTTAGAAGAAATGGCAGCTATGAAGCTCAGGGAGTTAATAGAGATCAAATGGTGAGGGAATCTGTTTTATACACGTGTACATGTGGCTATCCACAGGACAGGCAATGGCTGTCATTCTTCTACAGTTATCTGCACATGATATCTATATAAATGTTTTTAACCTTTGGCAGATTGAGAAGACAGCATGATCAAAATGAACAGACTTCCAGCATGGACAGCAGAGCATCCCTTCAGAGCCACGAGAAACTCCAAGATGGACGTAACAACAATTTGCTGGGACACGGCTGCACAAGAGGCTGCAGCAGCTAGTAAGCTACGGCCCTGCATACACTTCCACCCTGGCAGGGTGAGGAAAGGTCCTCTCTGCCCATGCTTTCATCTTTACCCCTCGGATCCCAGGACATCTGACTCCTCCAAAAGCAGATTCCCCAGCCAAGGACAAAGCCACAGAGCACACTGGCTGAGACTTTCCACATACAACCCTACTCTTCTTTAGATTCTGCCACTGGAAAAATGACCATCAGCAACAAAATACAGTTTTATAAGTAAGCGAGACTTTACTTTTCAAAATCCTGGAAGAAAACTTGAAACAATTCATTAGGCAGCCTCTCAAAGATTGCCATGTTTCTGGCTACTTGCAAGAGACAAAGTTATATTGGGGCCAGCTTTATCTTGAAGGCTTTACATTGCTCCCTCTTGTCTCCATTAATTAAAATGGTCCAGTTTGGAATTTTGTGAAACTGCTAGACACAGCTGTTTCTGAGAACCTGCTGTTGAGTTTATAACAGATGTATATGATATAAATACGTAAATGTAGTGTCAAATAGGCCAAACACTGAATAATTTCATTTAAATACTCGAAGCCCATTGGAAAAGTTGCAGCGTGAATGTATTCACATTGTTCTTTAACTTTATACATTCTGCTTTGTAGTAAAAGATGTGACCCTGGCCAAGTCAAAGTTTTGCTAGTGACTTTAGTGGATGCAGGATCAGACACATTAGTAGTGTACGATAACCATGACAAAGACCTTTTTATTCATAACAATGGCTGACTGAGCCAGAGTTGAAAAGCAGCTTAGTAAAGAGAGCTAGAAGCATTAAGACTTTGCTCAGATCCATAGTTAGATGTTATAAAATGTGAAGTTACATGTGTCTGTGTTTTCATGGATCTATTCTGGATGAGAACTATCTTGAATAGAAAGAAACATACTTTGTGCAAAGTATGACATATTATCCAAAGCTGACATGAAAGCCTTTTTTTTTTTTTTTTTTTTTTTTTTTTATTTATGGTATTTTACAACTTGTACATCCACATTTTGATAATAAATGCATGCTTGTTCTGTCTTTTTGTGCTTTTATTTTTAAGGGTTACTATCTGTAGCAAATCTCATTTTAACTTTTAAACACAAATAAGTTAGGTCTTTGGAAGTGAAAACCATTTAATTTGTAAATATTTTAATGGCATTGTTTCCATTCTATCTTTTACAAAACAAAGTTCTTTGTAATTGTATCTATTTTAAAATTTGGTTTCACATTATATGTAATTTTTGTCACAATTTTTTCACAAAATACAGATTTTTATCACTCCATGAAATGATATGGTTTTCCTATTAACAACAGAGCAGTTTACAAATGTACTAAGGTAAAGATTTTACATTTGTCGTAAGCATGGTGTTGGTCTGTTTGCTTAATGTGGACATAGACTAAAATAATTATATGACCAAGCAAAGGACCAGAGTTTCTCTGGTCATGAGATGACAGATTTCATTGCCCAGAATAAACTACTTCATGTCCATCCCTTTTTTTTTTTGCTTAATATTGGTTTCACTTGGGAAGGACCAAAGTGGATAATATTTCACATAATTTCTGGAAATGCCTATTGTTCTGTTCCAATCAAGATGCATTATGATCCTGATCTTCATCTTGGAAAGAAATGAAAGGTTTTATTCACTCCAATAGTCCTACAGAAATTAATGGTACTACTCATAACTAAATTCTTGCAGGATCCATGATGTATAAGGTAATATAGATTACAGCCATGGAGTTTTTGGAAGCAGGGCCAGTAACTTATTAGGATTTTTCATGCAAAAATTTTCCAATTTGAAAAAAAATCGGGAAAAAAAGGCAATTGCACATTTTCTTTTTTTCTATGATCGCAGTTGTTTTGGGCAAGAAGAGTTATAGTGGGTGATCTCGTACAATATCAACCACATAGGATGCAACTATACTAGCACCTTAATTTAGTCTGGGAAGGCATTTCTGAATTTAATGTCTCAACTGTACAGCCCTACTGCTGTTGGTTCATATTGTAGCACCCAAACCTGATGCTTTTTGGATGATACAAAACTAGAAGACGGCTCCAAGAGAGCACTTAGTGCCATCCGCCCAGGCTTGGGCCTGTAGACCACAGGAACAGGTGAGAGCAAATCTGAAATTAAACTACCCCAAATATGTGTCATGTGGATGTCAGCTCTGCGTTGCCAACCGCTCTGCTTTGCTGCACACCTCCTGTTAGGCTGCACTGCCTGATAATCCACACACAGTCACCAAGAAGCCTGGATTTATAGAATGAAAAGTTTATAGAATGAGAAGTTTATAGAATGAAAGATCCACAGCATTTAGAGTGTAACAAGTTCATCAACAATTGTATTAAAAATTGAGGGAGTTTCCTGCAGAAAGAATTTAATTAGCAGCAGGATTCTATCAAACGTTTGCAGTCTGATCTGGCTGTCTGCTGAGTATTTTTGACAAAGCCATTTTTGAGAGAAGCCTGGTTGTTCCATAGATTACATCTATTTAAATATGTTTGCACAGAGTATTGTGCATGAATGCAAGTTCAGTCAGACACTTTAATTTCACATTTGTTGCCACAGAATCATTTCTCGAACAACTCTACTGTTTGCAAAAAAAATAACCATCATGGCACCAATCAGCTTTATCACGAGTGCATGGCACTTCCCCTGACTGCAAGCTGAATCTTATGCTGCATATAATTATCTTTGTCTATTTATTACACAGGTCAGAGAATTCCCTCAGCTATACTGCAGGAATCACAGAATCATAGAATAGTTTGGGTTGGAAGGGACATTTAAAGGCCATCTAGTTCACTCACCCTGCAATGAGCAGGGACATCTTCAACTAGATCAGGTTGCTCAGAGCCCTGTCCAACCTGATGTTGGATGTTTCCAGGGCTGGGGCATCTACCACCTCTCTGGGCAACCTATACTCTTAGTTAATCCTTCTTCTTGATCAACATAGCTGTAAGAAACTGGCCTGTCATGGGACATCCTAATAATGGTGCAGAAGGAGAGATGTCATTCTGTATAGTATGTGCTTTGTGAGGACAGAACAAGTACTACAAGTCACACAGCCTGAGAAGTGCTTGGCTGGGACTTGTCTAGCTTTAGACATAAGAAAAATGTACATACCTGCAGCTGAGTTTGCAAGATGCAGACTCAAAAATAAAGAGGAAAAAAAAGGAAAAAGTTTCTTTTAGGATATGGTGCACTTGCTCTGTCTTGATTGTCTATTTTAGCAGATGGTTCTCCCTGTAGCTCTGCCTCCATGGAGTATAATGTAAGTTTACACAGCTCAGATGTGGACATGCACATTGTGTGCTGTCATTTAGTCAGATAAATCTTGCTAGTGATGGCACAGACAATTTATGGAGATGCAGGCTAATCCTTATGAAAAAATGGCAATATTTCTGATCACTTCAACATGAGTATCACAGAATCACAGAACTGTCTAGGTTGGAAAAGACCTTGAAGATCATCCAGTCCAACCATTAACCTAACACTGACAGTTCCCAACTACACCAGATCCCTCAGCACTAGGTTGATCCAACTCTTAAACCCCTCCAGGGATGGGGACTCCACCACCTCCCTGGGCAGCCCATTCCAACACCTGACAATCCGTTCTGTAAAGAAATGCTTCCTAATATCCAGTCTAAACCTTCCCTGGTGCAACTTGAGGCCATTACCTCTTGTCCTATCGCTTGTTACTCCGTTAAAGAGACTCATCCCCAGCTCTCTGCACCCTCCTTTCAGGCAGCTGTAGAGGGCGATGAGGTCTCCCCTCAGCCTCCTCTTCTCCAGACTAAACCCCCCCAGTTCCCTCAGCCGCTCCCCGTACGACCTGTGCTCCAGACCCTGCACCAGCTCCGTTGCCCTTCTCTGGACACGCTCGAGTCATTCAATGTCCTTTTTGTAGTGAGGGGCCCAAAACTGAACACAGGAATCGAGGGGAGGCCTCACCAGTGCCGAGTACAGGGGTAAGATCCCTTCCCTGTCCCTGCTGGCCACGCTATTGCTGACACAAGTCAGGAGTTAGAGTTGTTTAAACCATTTTTATTCTTACGTGTGAAAGTGGTATTAGAGGGCCAAGAAATTACACAAAAATAGATGCTTGCAATCAATACTGCCTTGTTTTCCAGCAGAAACAAAAATAGGGAAGGCAACCTAAATAAGACATAGAAGGTTTTTACAAAATACTCGAGAGATGGGGGGGGGCTGTCTCT